CCCCAAAACCCCAAAACCCCAAAACCCCATTAGAGAATTCAGTAGCATTATTTACAGGTAATTAATTAAGAAATTATTTTCAATCGTTTGATTAATTGAATAGAGGATATTATTTTATCAAATCATCAACTTAATTTCCCTCATATAATTTTCCTTAAAATATTACTTTTAACTCTTTAGGAATGAATCTGAAAAATTCATAAAGATTGGTTGAAGTTAAAGAAAGTCCTGGCACAAGAAAGTCTGGCCTTTTAATACCAAACTTTCTCTCATCATAATCAGATTGATATATCATTTCGCTATTGAATCTTAAATTCATTACTTTTCTTACCATTGTGGGATCAATATCTTAGATTTGATTAAACGCACCAATTAATCCTCCAACTATAGCAGCATTTGTATCAGTATCTCCTCCCTTTTATATTATAGATCTTAAAGATTACTTATAGTCTGAACCGCTTATTAGATAGTGGAAGGAGTAAATAAAGGCTATTTTTAACCATCCGTCATTAATCGTTGTCTATGGTAAATTAAACTGCTAAGCTTCTTCAAGCCATTCACACAATATAAACTAGTTTCTGAAAAAGGCTTCCTCCTTTACAGTATCAAATATTATCTTTCTATCCTTCAATCCATTCAAAATAAGTTTTATTGCCAAGCAGTATAGGTAAGTAGAATCTATCGCCAATTAATGGCAATGAGTCATATAGGTTTAAAGATACACAGCTTTATACAGATCTTAGTTTGATAACTATGATGCCCAAACAGCAAACGGAGTTACCCTCATTATGCATCCATTGCTTTAGGAGCTTTGATTGTTTGATTTCACTTACTCGAATATACCTTTTGCATTAAAAATTAAGGGAGTAAATGCAGTCTTTGTAGTGAATCCTATATCAAATGGTCTAGTACTAATCCACTTAATGTTCATCTTAGCTATTTCATCTAAATTTAGCAGACCTTATGATTTCACTATAATTGGATGTAATTAAACATGAGAATTAAAATACTTACGCAGAGCATGGAATATACATAAAGCTAATTCAGAATCATCAGTTATTTGCCCAGAAGCTATTCTGTGAGGTCCACCACCAACCAAATTCATAGCATCTTCTAGCTAACTATCATTTACTTTGCTAAAGAATTCAACATGAGCACCAGCAGCATCACCAATAAAAGCGCCTAAAATACTTCCCTATAAATAATTCAAATTTATCTATTTTTTACCAATGATTGGCTTGTAAATCTTGTGTTTTTATTCATATCCAAGAAACTGTAAACTCCCTCGTCTTTTTTAGACTCTAATTTCTCTTCTATTGGTAATATTTCCTATGTTTCGCTTTCTATTATAAAGGATTCATACGATGAGGATCCATCTTTATCAGAATAAGAATCTTGAATTAATTCCATTTAATTATAGATACAATTATATTATAGTTAACATAATATATTTCGTAAAGCAAGAAATTACAACATTTTAATATACTCTTTTAGTCTGTATATTGAAGCGAAGGGGTTTTGGGGTTTTGGGGTTTTGGGG